GGAAACTCTACAGCTTCTCGATTTAGTTACATGGGTCTCCCCCAGGGCTCATGTTTAAGCCCCCTTTTGTACAATTTCTATGTCAGAGAAATTGACAATTGTCTAAGTGACAACTGCACGTTGAGACAACTTGCAGATGATGGCGTAGTGTCTATGACAGGGCCCAAAGGTCAACCTGCAAGGACCCTTACAGGATACCTTAGACAATTTGTCTACTTGGGCTATCCAGCTAGATATCGAATTCTCCACGGAGAAAACTGAGTTGGTCGTTTTTTCTAGGAAGCATAGCCCAGCACAACCGAAGCTTCAACTTTTGGGTAAGCCGATCACTCAGTCCATGTCTTTCAAATATCTTGGGGTCTGGTTCGATTCCAAATGCACCTGGAGATCCCACATTGAGTATCTGAGACGAAAATGCCAACAAAGGATCAATTTTCTCCGAACAATTACCGGAACGTGGTGGGGAGCTCATCCGCAAGATCTTCTAACGTTGTACCGGACAACGATTTTATCGGTTTTAGAGTACGGTAGTTTTTGCTTCCAGTCGGCGGCTAAAACTCACATCATCAAACTGGAACGTATCCAGTATCGTTGCCTTCGTATCGCGTTAGGATGCATGCACTCGACTCATACGATGAGTCTCGAAGTGTTGGCGGGCATGTTGCCACTATCGGATCGGTTTTCGGAATTGTCCCTCAGGCTCCTCACCCGTTGTGAAGTTATGAACCCACTGGTAATCGAAAACTTTGAGAAGCTTCTTGAGCTAAACCCTCAAACACGTTTTATGTCATTGTAATACGTGTACATAACTCAGGATGTCAGCCCTTCACAGCATAATCCCCATCGTGTATGCTTCTCCGACTTCGGCAATTCAGTTAGTTTTGATTCATCTATGAGGCGGGAGATTCGTGGAATCCCAGAACATCATCGTTCCATCCGTCAATTTACGCTGCAAAGTTTGGCCAAGTTGATTCCGCAAGATCGTTCTTCACAGATGGATCACTAATAGAGTCGTCCGCTGGTTTTGGTATTTTTAACGAATTTCATAGCGCCTCTCGAATGCTTCAAGCTCCTTGTTCGGTATATGTTGCTGAACTGGCGGCAATACACTATACGCTAGAAACGATCGCCTCACTTGCACCAGATCACTATTTTATTTTTACGGATAGTCTCAGTTCTGTCGAGGCTATTCGATCCATGAGGCCGGTAAAGCACTCCTCGTATTTTCTCATGAAAATACGAGAGCTTCTGAGTGCTTTATCTTTAAGATCTTTTGTCATCACCTTTGCATGGGTCCTATCTCATTGCTCGATTCCGGGCAATGAGAAGGCGGACTCACTTGCTAAGGTGGGCGCTATGCAAGGCGATATTTACGATCGACAAATCGCCTACAATGAATTTTTCTTCATTTATCGTCAACAGTCGCTCGCCAGCTGGCAAAATAAATGGAGTGAAGGAAGTTTGGGACGATGGCTATTCTCGATCATCCCTAAGGTGTCGAAGAGTCCTTGGTTCAAGGGGTTGGATGTGGGTCGAGACTTCATTCGTATGATGTCTCGCCTCATGTCCAATCACTATTCGTTAAACGCTCACTTGTTTCGTGTTGGGCTGGGAGACAGCAATCTCTGTGAATGTGGACAAGGTTACCAAGACGCCGATCACATCCTTTGGTCTTGTGCTGAGCATCGTGGAGTCAGATCTGAGCTGTGCGATTCCCTTCGGGCTCGAGGTAGACAACCTAATGTTCCAGTTCGGGATATTTTAGCTAGACGTGATCTGGAGTTTATGAAACTCATATATGTTTACTTTAAGAATACTAACCTTAGATTGTAAGTTTGATTAACCTTGTGTTTAGTTTGTGTATTGTGCGTGTAGTTTTTTTTTTTAATTTTTGTTTTCAAGATGAATAGAAATAAGTTCATGTTTTAGGATTAATTAAATATTTGTATAATAAATCATATTTCAAACCTCCTTCTCCCTTTCCCCATCCAAAAAATTGTAAATCTCCACTAACCTCGAGACGACCGCGAGTAATTGGTTCAATTCCTTTAACTCTAGATTTAAGACATTAATCATGTATAATGCAAATGATAACTCGGCTCTGTAAAGTTTATTCGATTGAGCCTGTACAAATAAATTAATATAAAAAAAAACAATCTTCAACTGGAACGTACTCACCAAATCACTTCACCCGGGAGCGCATTCCCGATGCTTCCACGCATATTTTTCTCTCCACTCCAACCACACAACAACCAAATAGCACTTTTCTTCACTTTTATTTTTACTTAAAGAAGGTGGCAAATTTTGATCACAAATTCGAAAAAAAGCGCAGAAACTTTCTAAGCGATTTAAGAGTTCACATAATTTCAGTTTGGGTCTTACTAGTCCTATTGATAATCAAGTTGCGCGGAATTATCTGAACATTTCCTCTCAGGAAAATACTTTTGATGATTCCTGGGGGACTGATTTGGACGAAGTAAGGTCTATAACTAAAAAGTTTCAAAATATGAAAGCTCCCAGTGATGATGGAATTTTATATATCCTAATTATAATCCTATAAGAGAGTACCTTGTCTTTCTTGGTAAAATGATATAACAGATGTTTCCATTTGGCATACTTTTCTGATAAATGGAAAAATGTAAAAGTTGTTTCAATTTTGAAGCCGCTTAAAAATATATAGCTGAAGCTTCTAGCTACCGTCCAACAAGTTTGCTTTTATCAATAAGTATTGAAGTAATGAAATTGGGTTGTTAGCGGAATGCTTAAATAAAACAGCAAAAAAAAGGGGTTATCTTCCATATAATTCCACTTAATTAATTTTGGTATCCGGACATCTTCTGAGTGCGGACATGCTCCGGAACGCTGAACTTATCCTTGGCCGTGAAAAACAGGTTGCCGGGGATCTGTTTGAAGTCGGCCTTCACATATGTTTCGTCGTCCATGATGCAGCATTCAACTTTCGTCAGCATGTTGAGGTACAACTTCCTGGCACGGGTTTTGGCGGACTTGTTCTGCTTCTCGTCGCGATTAGGGGCCTTTTGTACCTTGAACGTTCGAAACCCAGCCTTAGTTTTGGCCTTCTAGACAAAACTTAGGCTTAGGTGCAGCTTCTTAGCCACATCCCTAACGGAGGCGTTCGGATTTCGGTTGAAGGCCCCAACTACGCGGTTGTGCTTTTTGGTGTTGTACGAAATACTTTTTCCTTCACTTCTGGGCTTCCGATCGGTGGTCAACCGTTCCTCGAACCGCTTAATCACTCGCGACACCGTGGAATTCACGGTTCCCAACGTTTTAGCGATGGAACGATGCGAGAGATCCTTGTTCTCGTGATGAATGCGCAAGATTTTATCACGCACGAGCTGTTCTTTCGACTCCATTTCCGCGAGTTTTGATCACAGAACTTTAAAACTTGCAGGATGTAAATAATGCACTATGAACTAAATCCACCCAAATTTTCATTAAATTCTACCCAACGGTTAAAAAGTTAGAGCAATTCCATAGTGTGGCAATTTCATCGTGGACACCCTTTATATTGTATAACATTTTCACTTCAAACCTCCCTGATTTACCTCAGGGTTGCCATAAATCTTTGTTCTCCGATGACACAGGGCATTCCGCTAAAGGAAGAAGTCTTTGTGTTATTTTCAGGAGACTGCAGACAAGTGTAAATATTTTCTCTTCTTATTTACAAAAATGGAAGATTTCTCCCAAAATTCATCTAGAGCTTCCTTTTTAAAATCTAGTAGTATTCATATAGTCACTATGGACGGAGTTCCAATTTGTTGGTGAAGTCAAGTGAAATATTTTGGATTGGTACATGACCAAAAATTAACTTTTAAAGATAACATTGAGGGCATTCACGCCAAATGTAACAAATATATGAAATGTTTGTATCCCCTTATAAACAGGAAATCCAAACTTTGCCTGAAGAATAAACTTCTAATATTTAGACAAGTTTTTAGATCGGCCATGCTTTACGCTGTGCCAATATGGTCTAGTTGTTGCACTACCAGGAAAAAAAGCACTTCAAATGATTAAGAACAAAGTTCTGAAGATGATTTTAAAATTTCCTCCCTGGTACAGTACTACCGAGGTACATAGAATTTCGAATGATGAGACTTTAGAACAAATGTTCAACAAAATAATTAATAATTTCTGGCAAAATCTTTGCAATCCTCAATTTCAACGATTAAGATTCAGCTAAGATTTAGTTCCAGTTTTTAGTGTTAAGGTGACAATTGTTATACTGACATGCAGGTATAGAAAACCTGTTCAAAATTCAGAATTGCCAAAACAGAAGCAATGTAAACAAACTTAGATATATATCATAACAATTAAGGCTGGTAAGGTACTGTAGTAGCTGGAGCACCTAGAAAAATTAAATTTAATTTAATTTGGATTTGAAAAACATTGGAACGATTCCCTAAATTTGTCCCATACTATAACTTAACGATTGCTTGATAATCTCATAAAATATCAGCCTTTTTATTTGAGAATTAAAAAACGACAATCATCATTTTGTCATTTTGCTAGAAGCGATGTGTTAAGGTCAATTTGGTTTGATTTTTTAAAACTTGATTAAATAGCAATTTGGCCCGATAATTATCACGAACGAGTATATACTAGAATATCATTAAAATTAAATGTTTTAACCAGAACTAATGTTTATAGGAATCTTAAAAATTTGAATGAACAGTAGATTTTTCTGGGTGAGTGAAACCGAAAACCTGCATACATTTTGAACCTGAAAAAAAAAAACTGGAAAGCTCAAGGTTTTATTTTTTGTGTCGCTAGCCTACGGGATTATTATCTCTCAAATGAAAGGTAAGAAGGTTAATTTTAAAATAGTGAGGGATTCAGCGATCCTTATTTGCTTGTTATAATATTGTTCAACTATACATACCTTGAACAGTTTGAGTTCCAGTAGGAATGCAATAATTCCGTTTGAACGAATTAAAAAGAAAAGTCCACATTGTTACTAATACAACATTTAAATTTAATGCAGCAATCAATCACATTTTATAATACAAGCATATAGTTATACACAGCGTTACGGTCCGTTACATCGCCATCGTCAGGTACTAGAAAGCTCCCGGTATAGCTTCAAGCGCCAAAAAGCTCTCGCTTTCACTTGGTCTCGTCGATATCGTTATTCCAAAAGCTAATCTTCTCGTCGCTTTTCAGCTTACCGCGAATCGATTCGCACCGTTCCGAATCGTCTTGCATTTCCTCCGGGCAGGCCAGCGTAAAGTGTCTCCACAGACAGTAGGAAAAGTGGAACCCTTCCGGATTGCATTTCCCCTCCTCGGGGGCATGTTTTTCGTGCTCTTCTTCGGCATGATCAAAGCACTGCTTGATGAAATCATCCACCAGAGGAACCTTCCACTCTGCGACACTAAAGTGCTCCTTCAATGCCTTGGCGAGGTCTTCGTGCCGTAGATCACCGGTCTCGTCGGCAAGTTCGTGCTTTTTGGCAATGCACTCAACGAGACACACTAGATTTTCCCGGCTCTTCAGGAGCTCGTCTTCTGTTTCAAAATTAAAATTTGGTGAAAATAACTGATTCAAAAACAAATCCTCTCCATTACCAGACATCTCATTCAATCCTAACTCCTCGGCGCAGGTCCGTCTCACGGCGACCACTTTTTCGTGGTTCATGGAATCCTCGAATCCATCGTTGCAGCAACGAGCCGAAGGGCTCCGACGGAAGCGGTTCAAAACGGGGACAAATGCCTGACCGGTGCCGATGGCAATTGTCGTCACTACGAACGCCAGTATAAGTTTGTTCATTTTGATTAAGACTACCGAGCCAACTACGCTCATACGGTTTTCCTCCGGGAGCTTTTATAGGCAGAGAAAAGGTCGGATTAAGATTAACCGGAGACGATTACTGGACATGGGTAGTTCTTAAATTGCTCAACGATAGATAATCGGTGAGCAATTGTTGACACAATGCATCGTTCTATGGATGTAATTGCTCATTGCGTTGATTACGATATTGCGCTAGTCAAAGAAAAAAGGTAGGCGTATTTCGTGTGCACTTATCAAAATCACTGCTTGCATGCGGAAGCGGGTGAAAATTCACGTGAGTGAATCAGAAAGGAGTCATGTATTAATTAGGTGAAATTTACCAACCCCTTTCCCCGTTCCTCGCATTTTACCTATACCTAATGCATTGCTTGTCGCAGAATTCTACAACCTCCTCCCCTTTAGAGCGTAACATAATTCAAAACAAATTGATTTTAGGAAAGTTACCTCAAAGCTCGTGGGGAAGTCTAGATTATCCATTAACATCTGGGAGAGAAGCTAGTGTTCCTCAAAAATCATCGTCATTTGTGAAATGGGTGTCTTCTATAGCAGTCGTTAAGTCCATTTTATTTCACGTTCATAAACAGTTTTGCTACACAGTAGATTATACCTATTTTCACAACTTCGAGACAATTTTCCATCTTTTCGTGATTTTTTCGATTGAGCGAAATTGCTACCCCTCAGCAAAACGTAGCTCCTTCTCAAAAAGTAACGCGAATAAAAACGTGTTTGCCATCTACTATAGTAACACAACCAGGGAATGTAAGATTTGCTCACAATAATGAGGGATTCATCATCGCAGGATATTAGTGGAGACCGCATGAACGGAGTTTGAGATATATCGAGCTGCGGTCAAATGCAAGAAAATCGAGAAACACACTAACCCAGGCCTCTGCCGATCGGTAAATTTTGAACTACAGAACTGTTCGGTAAAAGTTTGAAAATCTTTTAAAAATCCAATAATTAGTTAATGTATTCCGAACTTGTACAGACTTTGTTTAGTTTACTCCATTAAGCTATAAAAAATAAAATTTGTCAATTTTATTGATTTATCACGCTTAACGGTCATTTGAATCTGCTGTTCAAAAACCCGGTAAAACTCTACTGACTTCGGTGATCTGAATTAAGTGTGAAGAACTTGAGAATTTCTTGTCCAGATTGCAATAAAATCTACATTGGTCAGACGAAAAGGACTTTGGAAACAAGGTTTAAGGAACACATCGCAGAGGTAAAAAGGCTAACAAAGAGATGGATAAAGGACTTCATTATGAATTTAAATCCAAGGTTGCAGAACATATCTTTACAAAGAGACACAATTTGACAAAGGATAACATTAATATCCTGCGAAGTGTATCTTCGCCATGGAAACTAGACGTAGCAGAAAGTTTAGAAATATTTAAACATAATCCATCAGCATTGCTTATATAGATCAAGGAAACGGATACTCGAGACTATTTAGCACGCTACCTAATACCACACATCGTGGCATGCATCTACCTGTGGAGACTAAATTTAGGTAGGTAGTTAGGTAAATTGTGACATGGCAGTGGATACCTGCTGATACCTGTACCTATTGATTAGTATATAACTCGTAGATAAAAGATGGAGTCTTCAGTGGTGTTGAATACTTGGCACTGATGAAGTCTGCAAGTAGTAGACGAAATACGCGTATCTGTCAAAAGATAAGCAATATAACGGAATTTAAAGGAATTAAACCAACCCACATAAATGGATTCCGTTAAGAGGTTCGACGAATTTAAAGGATTAAAAATATGAATATACTTATTCCTTTATATACATATAACTTATGTTCGTAAAAAAATTATATTGAATAACAAGCTTACCTTAACAGAAACGAAACTTTGTATAACAGCACTGAATCACTGTCTTTCAAACTATTTCTATTTTCCACAGATAACGACTTAGACTGCTTACTGTTGATGACTGATTGAAGATATGCTTGTGCAGTTCTTTAAATGTCAGTTTTTGCTACTGAAATAAATATTCTTACCGAGTGACTAGGTAGAGGAAATGGCTCTATTGTTGGCCTATGGATCTAAGATTGGGCCCATCGCTAAATAGCAGATAAATTTTATTCAGATGAACGCGTCATTGGACGGTATTAATGTATATTTTTGGTCGCTATTGAAAATTTAGTCGCCTGCTGAATTTATGTATGGACCCAAATTAGGGGTATTTAGGCCGACTCCACCAATGAAGAATTAGATGGTACCTAAGTATGGAATTAGGTCAGGCCAGTAACAAGGCCTATACCAACAGCAGCGTTTGACAGTAGGCAGCATTTCCCGGGCTCAAATCGTTTATTGGGCCCGCTGTCACGGTATAACATGTTGCCTATGCGCCTGCCACTGGGCTGAATTAGATAGGGGAATTTACGTATTCTCGTCAATCTAAGCAGCGTCCGAACTTCTATTAGCGATTTCTCAGTGTCACACACATACATGATAGGTTTGTTTGTTGAAATTTATCTGCTGCTTGCTGTTCTACCATTTCCAATCGACAGAATTGATCAAAACGGGTTGAACATGTTTTTACAACGCTCAAAACTTCTCAGGTGAGAGTGACTATTATCGGCAGTCTCTTTTTCTTCGGCACCTTTTCCATTTGAACTGCGTGTTTACCAGCTGTTCTATTATCGGCAACTCGAAATCAGCCGTATTTTGTAGTATGTATATTTCATTTAAAGAAAAATATGGTCTAACAGGAATTCACAGTCGTAAAAATGTATTCAGATTGAAGCTGAAAAGGTAAGGAATCGGCTTAATACATTCAGCGAAGAGTGTTGATGGGAAAATACAGTGAAATAAACGTTTCAATTTTGGTTGCCGAAAACAGTCAATTGGTGCCGAAGCCATAATTTACCCTACCAGATATTCAGTGGCTTGATTTTCAACGCTTGTTGTATAGACACTTGTGCGTCTGATTGCAAAACTGTGACCTGCAAAGTTTAAGGAAATTAATTGGGCTTTTCGTTAAAAATATTTTCAAGATTGGACACTCACGAAAAACATCTCAAAAGGGTGAAAATTGCTCAATTTATGCGATAAGTTAATTTTAACCTACGACCTACGTATCTCGAAAATAACAACTTTGGGCAATTTAAGCACCAAGAGCTTTTTTGTTGTAAATTCAATGTGTTTTAATATTAACACGATTCCAAAGATATTCGATAACTGTAGGTAGTATTTTGGAAAATAGTACTTTTTTCAATAATTCATAACTTTTTTGTTTATGAGTTGCCCAGCAAACGCACATTGTCAATAAGTAGCACTTTATCTAAACTACAATATAAATATAAAAAAATATGCAATTTGAGTAATTTTTTTTTATAATTTTGATTTTTTTGTAAATAACAAAATAATTTTTTACAGTGTATTTTTTTCTTGAAAGGTACAATACTTGTCCGCAACTTCTTCGAAGACTGCTTCTCGATCAAACAAATCGTTCGCGAGATAAATGTTTTTCTATTGATGCGTATCATTTTTGCATAAGCTCTTTTCAAGTGTTAGCCGTGTACAAAACTAGGGAACCAAATATGTAAAATGACATGTTGGACAATAACCAACAACTGTGCAAAGTTTCAACATAATCGCAAAGTTTCCACATAAGCTTTAGATGGGTGGACACTGATATTCTGCAGCCTTCCAACCTGTCGCAGACACCAGTTCAACCCCTGTCCAGCAGCAGACGGGCTGATACTCTTGCGAGTGTCCAATCCTATTTGGCCCCTTATACGGCTAGCTAGTTTCGAAGACCACGGTAGAATAGAAAACAATCATAAGAAGTGTTTGACAGCCTTTTCGGGTCATTGTTAGTGCCGTAGCTACACAATAGGAACGGGAAAAGCGGACAGGCCCCCTCCAGAATTGTCCAAGACCACCCACCTCAGATTTTTTTTTTAGTATTTTAGTGTATTGCGGTTTGTAGCATAACAAGTTTTGACAATAAACCTTATTTTTCAATTTGTCGCAACAACCCCACCTGGGTTACTTTTTCAAAATACTTATCTGCTTTTCTAAACAATGCGTTCGATCGTCGATTTGACGTAACTGGGAGCTCGTCCTTTCCCATCTTAATGGCAGTGTTAGTGTGAATGGGTGGGTTCCCAGTTGCGTCAAATCGAGTATCCGAGATTTGTAATACCATTCGCAAATTATGGCATTCATTTCATAAATAAAAATGTATTAAATAAAATAGTGTTCTTAGGTATTTATTTAGTTCACATTATATAATTACATTATTACTTGATACGTCTATTTAAACAAATTTAAAACCTTTGCATCATGATCTGAACAGTTTGAGAACAATTTTGCTTTAATTTTATTTTCAGATATAGGAATAAATGAGTGAAATTTTTGCGTTCCTTGAATTTTTCTTGCTTCACAATATTGTTCATTAAGCCCTGCCGTCATAGTATTATATTCTTCTGATGTTACAAAACCAAATGATAAACTCGTCAACTCTTCCTCCTCTCGATTATTTGCCCAGTTATATAATTCTTTGGCATTTTTAATTGGATGTTCACGTTCTCTGGCTAAACTGGCTCGTGTAGCCATGCGTACCACCAATACCATCACTCGGTCCTTTGCCATGGGATGTCGCAAAGAAATGCCATTCAGCTTCAATTTCATACATAGACTTGAACTTGCAGAGACTAGAAAAATTCTTACGGTTTTTACTGTGAAGCAGCTCCGTCAGACATAAAATAAATCTTCATCACTATTTTCTCTGATCTGTACGTAAAAAAGTTATCATTTTGGAAATAAACAGGGTAACAGCTACTGCATCATGTGTCAACTCTACTAAGATAATTATTAAACTAAAATGAAGCACTTGCGAGTTTTCTTTATAGTATATAACGAATGGATGGATAGTAGCTTGTTGTACATTCCAATGATGAGATTGTACATCATCCTGCAGTACAAAGGAGTAATTTTCAGAAAAAATCACAAATGACTAAAAATT